ATATTTACCTAGCATAAATTCATTTTGTAAATTTTGATTGTTCATCGGTAAATCATTGAAAGCTCTTTTTTTTCAAATCTAATCCTTTAGTAATAGTATTATTAAAACGAGTAAGTTACATACAATTGATTCTTCATTGTTTTTATATCACATTAGAAAAGAAAGTGATTCGTTATTATCAAAACTAATAATCATTATATCACTGCAGTAAATATCACAACAATAATATACACAGATCAATAAAGATTAGTGAATGGAAATTTTGGTGGGTAAATTAAAATTTAATAATCGTGAAAGGATTGTATCTGCATATTTACACAGATCTCTATGTGATTCATAGCTGAGATACGAATATTAATAAAGCTATAAAATGTTCATAAAACATATAATAATAGTATCAGTAATAGCAATAGCAGCAGTTAAGAGCAGTATTAATAGTAATGGTAGTAAAAGTAGAACAGTGACAGTAGTAGGATTGCTACCCATTAACACCTCGTCTAACCGGATTTTATTAAAATTTTTTAAGCATTACTCTGAAATGAGAGGAAGGAGATGTTTCCGATCCGAATATGATAACAATAATAATAAGTAGCAGAAATAGTTTTTGTTGTTGCTACAGTAATTGCTGTAGTAGTAGTAGTAGTAATGGTTGTTATTGTTTTATAAACATTTTATATTTTTATTTTTAATAATTTTATAGTAGCAGTAATGATTGTCGTTTTGCTACAATAATTGTTGTAGTTGGTATTAATGGTTGTTGTTGTCACAGTAATTATAGTAGTAGAGGTAAAGGTTCTTGTTGTTATCACAGTAACAGTAGTAGTAAAAGTAATGATTGCTGTTGTTATTGTTGTAGCAATTACTAGTAATGACTATAGTTTGAGGAAAGGAGAAAATTGGAAGAGGAGAAGAGAGGTAAAGAAAAAGGAATGCCAATGACATAATGTCACAACCAGAAACAACAACATTCTCTCTCAATCAAAATTTGCCACTTTTCAATTGGAAATTGATTGCTTTTTTTTCAGTTATGATTGTTTATAATTTATATTTTTAAACTGATCGTATATAATCATTTTTGTACTAAGTGCTGATAATTTTTCATTAAAACAAATTTCGATGAGATTTTCGGCATTTAGAAGAATTCTTCTACTTCTCTTAAAATTATTTTATTATGAAAATGGTAAACGATATAATGAATTTATCATGTACAAAATACGCTAGAAGAACATAATTTAACTTCTAAGTTGTAATATGTCTAATTATAGATTTGTACCTTAATTTCAATATGAAAATAAATTAATATCAGGATGATTCTGTAATATTCTATTTTTAATCTTTAATTATCTAATTATCATGAAAGATTTCATTTTAAGTTTGAATTCAACTTCCACTTCGGATCTATTTATTTATTATTATTTTCCCTACAAAGCTATATCATTTTTTTTTTCTCCTTAAATTGAATAGGCAAATAATAAAACAAGCACAGGAGGAATTATAATGAAAAATAAGCAAATAATTTCAAGTTTTTCATATCGATATTTTTTGCAGATTGAAAAATATTGAAAAAGACATTTTATTTTTCTTGTATTTTTGTGTCAATTATTAATTAACATTAATAAGTTATGGCAAGAAAATTTCGCAGTCATCCATTTTGTTCGATTACATTTGGCCAATTTCTGTGTGCTTTTCCCTTCTTAAAATGTTAATATTTTATAGCAAGTTAAACTGAAATTTTTGTTCAAATAATTAAATGTTTCAAAGTCGCGTTTATGTGCATGTTTTGAAATATTGAAATTTCCAGTAAATTAATTTTAAATTTTTATTTGAATGAATACACGTACTGAAATTATGCAAATATATATATATATATATATTTGCATAAT